GGCAAAACAAACTCAACAAAAGTAATATTTTAAGAGCCAAGCACTATATGGAGATGTAAAAGATGTACAAGATTATGAAAGATGTAAAAGGGGATTAAAAATAGGAAAGAGATACAAGTTTCATTTTTGAGGCTGGGGAGATGGCTCAGTAGAATAAGCACTACCCTGGCAAGCACAAGGGCCTGAGTTCAATCCCTGGTTCTGCCAAAAAAAAAAAAAAAAAAAAAAAAAAAAAAACCCAAACAAAAAAAAAAAAAAAAAAAACCCTCCAGCACAAGTTTCATTTTCTTATTACTGTAGTTTCTCTCATTTTTTCCTGTTGTTTGTTGTCATTATTTCAAAATATGTTACAATCAAATGATTTTTACAGGCCTAATAATAACCACAAAGCAAAGCTTTAAAATATAAAAATAAAGTATCAAAATATCCTCCTTTAATAAATTATGTGGCAATGGAAGACTAAGAAAGGGAAAGGACCTATAAGAAAAAAATGAAAAAACTAGTTATACAATGGCCATATTACTGCCTTCCCTCACAATAATTATCTTGACTACAAATTAATTCAATTGTCCATTTAAAAGAGTAACTGGTTAGATAAAACAGTAAGATCTAACTATATATTGCTTATAAGAAACACTTTACATCTAAGAACACACAGAGTAAAAATGAAGGGATTGGAAAAAGTATTTTATACAAAAGGAATCCAAAAGAGAGAAGGAGTTAAGCATATTTGAATCAGAGAAAACAGACTTTCAATCTAAAACAGTAAAAAAACCTTTTAGACAAAGAGTTCATTTTATGATTAAGGGATCAATTCAGCAAGAGAGTAATTCTAAATGCACACACACCTCAAATTGGAGCAAGCAAACTTACAAAGCAAATACTAATAGACCTAAAGGGAGACATAGATTCCAACATGGTAATAGTTGTGAGTTCAACACTCCACTTTCAGCCATGAAATCATCTAGACTGAAAATAAGCAGCTGTCTTATTCCAAAAGACAGAAGTAATTCTCCAAGTACATTTTATAAGGTCAGCATTATTTTGCTACCAATGCAAGATAAGGTCATAACCAAAACTATCCTTAATAAACATTGGTATAGAATCCTCACAAATACCAATGGAACAAAGATCAACAGCACAGTAATTTTATTATAATTAATTATAATCATCATAATGAGATGGGATTCATCCTAGAGATGCAGGAATAGATCAGTACATGAAAATCAATATAGTACACCACAACAGCAGCATGCTATACAAAAAGCATGTGGTCATTATATATAAATGAAGAGAAGACACTCAATAAAAGTCAGTATTTCTTCATGATAAAAAATACTGAGCAAATTAGATACAAAAGAACATACCTAAATATAATAAAGGCTATTTACAATAATCCAACTCTAATGTTACATAGAATAAGGAAAAGCTGAAAGCTCTATAAGATCTGGGACAAAACAAAGATGGCTAATTTCATCGCGTTTGTTCAATCAGGCAAGAAGACCAAAGGGAGAAGATAAATTCTCCCTATTGCATGTGGCAAGAATTTACATATGCATAACTCTAAAAACTAGTAGAAATTATGAATTCCAGAAAGTTGAAAGATACAAAATTAACACAAAAAAATCAGTACTATTGTTATCTGTACAATAGCTAGAAAAATAAATACCTAAGAATAATTTAAACTAAATTTGGTAAGGAAAGAGGTGAAAGAGCTCTACAATGAAAATTATATAGCATGAATGAAAGAAATTGAAGACAAAAAAGTGGAAAGGCTTCAGGGTGACGGATTTCCTTTTTAAATTGATACTATTGAAATGTCCATACCATTCAAAATAATTTAAAGATTCCCTTTTAATCCACATTAAAATACTAATGATATTCTTTTCAGAACTAGAAAAAATGTAAAATTTATATGGAACTACAAAAAGAAACTTGAATAGCCAATCTCATCTATCTGGAGCAAAAGGAACAAAGCAAAAAGTGTATTACTTGATGTAAAAACATACTACACTTTTTAGTAACCAAAACAACAGTTTTGGCATTAAGAAAATGGATTGGGCCGGGGAGATAGTCTAAGTGCTTGCCTGGCAAGTGGAGCTGGGTTTGATTCCCTGTACTGCATGTTGTCTTCCTGAGCCAGTCACTGAAGACTGGTATGGTGGCACACATCTGTAATCCCTGTACTGGGGAGGCTGAGACAGCAGAATCACTATGAGACTGAGCTGCACAATGAGACACTGTGCCAAAGTAATTAATTAAAAAGAAATCATAGACCAATGGAAGAGAATATACAGCCTAGAATTAAACCCATTATCTATAGCTAACTACTTTTAACAAAAAAGTTAAGGCTATTTAATGGGGCAAGAACATTTTTTTCAATAAATGGCATGGGAAAAATTGGACAGGCACGTGCAGAAGAATTAAACTTGGTCTCTACCTTTCACTATATACAAAAATCAAATTGTATAAAAATTTAAATGTAAGACCTGAAACTGAAACTGAAAATCCTGGAAGGAAGCATAGGGAAAATACTTTAAGAAATTGAATAGGCCGAGTATTTTTGTTTCATTTTGTTTTGGTTTTTTAGAACAGTACACCCCAAAAGCAAATTACAAATGTGATTACATCAAATTAAAGACTTTTGTACAGAGAAAGAAATAGAGTAAAGACAACATAAATGGATAAAATTGCTTGCCAGCTATTTAAGGGATTGAATCCAAGGTTACATAAGAAACTCCAAAGACTCAATGACAAAACAAAAGCCCCAAAGCAATTTAGAACTATGTAATAAGTCTAAACAGACGATGAAGAAGAAGAAGAAGAAGAAGAAGAAGAAGAAGAAGAAGAAGAAGAAGAAGAAGAAGAAGAAGAAGAAGA